ACAACGCGGACTTCCGCGCATCAATCTCCTCCTCGATGGAGGCATACTTCTGAGCCCGAGCCAGGACCTCGGTGTAGCTGGTACTGGGGTTCCTCTGGAGGTCCCGGTATAGATCTCATGTGGCCAATGCACTGGTGAACATGTTCACTTCCAGCCGCTCGTCCAGATCATCCACCTGCAGGACTTCATCCCTCCATCTGACCAAGAATTTGGCCAAGGGCTCGTCTTTCCCCTGCTTCACACTAGTGAGAGATGTGAAGCTCTTCTTGGGGGTTGTGCTGGCGGCGAATTGCGCCATGAACTGCTGGGACAGCTGTTCATAGTTGTCGATGGATCCAGGCCTTAGCTGCCCGAACCATTCCTGCGTTGGGCCCCTCAAGGTGCTGAAGAAGAGCTGGCAGATGGCCTCGTCCGATGCTCCCAACATGGAAAGGTCCCCCTGGAAGCTGATCAAATGGGCCTTGGGATCTCCGGTCCCGTTTTACACCAAACCTCCGGGCGGCCTGCAGTCCCGTGGGATCTCTGCATTCATGACCCTCGGGGTGAATGGTGATGTGAGGGAGAAACGTGGTGTAGCCGGAGTGGCCTCCGCCCGTCTATCCATTTCGGCCATTCGCCGTTCCATCGCCTCTAGCCGGGCCTCCTGTGCGGCCCTTCCGGGGGACACAAGAGGGGCGGGCTCGAGTGCGACGTTCCCTTCTGGTATAATCGCTTCGGGTTGTCTCCGAGTGATATGGGCACCCCGCCTTTGGAAGCGGCGCCCAATGTTGCTGGCAGCGCGAGTGATTTACGTGCCCCTGTGTTCCTGGGATCCGTCCGGCGTACGACCCCGATGATCGTCTTTCCATCCATAGCGGGGGGGTACTGGCATTGGTGTGCCCCCTGGTCCCTTGGGATGGTGGATTCCGGCCCAACCTCGTGTGGACGGATGTGCGATGTCCCGCGGATTCCGCTGTTTCATCCAGGGACTGCATGTGATGGATTGGCGAGATGGGCGTCCAGATTGTATTGGTTGAATACACCTCATCAGCCGCCTCCTGTTCGTCCTCTATTCGGCGCATGGTGTCCGCCAGCTCCCTCATGAGTCGAGGGTCGCGCCTAGCCTCAAGGGGGATAAGGTTGGTGAGGCCACCGTCGCCGCCAGCGGTCCCTAGCGTCTCAGAACACTTCGTAGTGTGCCCGCGGCTTCTTCGCCCGTGAGACAGTTGCTCCGAGAGGTCGCGTTGTTGGTTGTTTCTTGCCATCGTGCTTGTTGAGGGTAGATTAGTAGCTGTTTCGGGAGAGTTTTTTGGAAACTTTTAGTTCAATTTCCTTCAGACGGCGCCAGTGTTGAGGTTTATTCCTTCAACCCTCGGGTCCAACACGTAAGCCCAAGAGTTTCGAGTGGAGTGTGTATGAATAATCTAGCCCAACTAACAAGCAAGATGGATTAAAGGGAATAAATGATAGCAAGTAAGAGATTAAGTATTATTAATCAGTTAATAACTCCCCAATACAGTACTTTCGCTAAGGCTTGCCGTTCGTCTTACAAGGCAGTAGAAGAGTTGCGAATAAGAATGCTATAAGCTAGAGTGCTAAGAATAGTAAGTTGCCAACCCTTTACAGTGAAATAAATGCTGCTATTTATACTACCAATGGGTAGCTGACTATGCTGTCGTGGAGGCTTGTGTGTGGCTGGTGTCCCAACCACCATATCTCCGGCATTAAATGCGCTTCCCGCCAGAATCTGGGTTTCCCGCCTAGTTGTGGAGACGTTCGTCCAGTCCGGATAAGGGGGCCTGCTCCTGGCGTTACTTGCAAAGGGTAATGGGCCGTTCGTATCCTGGCCCTTAGAGGATTTGCCATACGTATTGGATTGTCATCAAGCGGCTATGGGCTTGAACCGGAGACGTTCGTTGTCACTATACTGGTTTGTGGGCCTGACCCACTATCGTATGTGTGGACGCTCGTCGGGATGGGTTAGTAAGCCTAGGCGTTGGATCCGACGTTCGTCTGTACTATATTTGCCTGTTAGCTTAATCCACCCAATGACCTGTCTGGACGTTCGTCTGACTGAGGGTGTAAATGGGCCGGCCCTCTGCTTGGGCCATTAACCCAACAAATATAGTTCACTTTAAATCAATTTAAATTCTAGTCACGAAATCATGTGAAAACACATAAGAAAATTGTTCACATTAGATCCTTTTACAGAAGGCACTCACTAGAAGTGATACTTTCACATGGTACAAAGACCTTGTTCAATCATGATATTAAAAATAATTTGTACCATGATAAGCAAGTACAGTTCTTTTACAAAATATATCATGCTTTCAAGACTTGATGTGCGAACGATGCTTAACGTGAGAACGTGAGAGCATTCACATTTTAACCAATGTGGTGCATAATGAGGCTCAGAAACATGCCTCAGGAGAACGATGTTGTCAATCGGATGAGTCCTAACAACCGTTCTTAATGTGATACTTAAATAGACTCATCCAATTGCTTTTTATAGAGGTTGTCAAAAGGTCGTTATGACTCCTCCGATTGCTTTTTATAAGTAGACGGATTTATATGATACTTTATTGAGTACATGACTCTATGTGAAGTTTTCGTAATAGTATAAGGCCTTATTTGACTCCTTTCTCATTTATGAAATCATGGGCTATCATTAACAAGGTGACAATTTTGTAATAATTCTACAATAATTATGAAAAGGTCCCCATTTGAAATTTCATTAATTACATAAAGTACCCCACGTGCAGGTATAAGGATGTTTTCTTTTGGATTGAAATTTGCTAGTCTGATCTGGTCTAGTTTGAACTGGTCTGGTAAACGTCTGGTCTCTGTGTATTTTATAACTTCGGAAGACTGATATGGAACTAAAAACAGTTCTAAAGAAAACATCCTAACACGTTCCTCTCGGCTTGACTAAACCAGTTTTAGTAACACTGAAAAAAATCAATTATTTCAATGACATGAGTAATTAATCAAACAACCTGATTTTAGCTAAATATAAGTACGGAGTACGTTTAATCCAATAATAACCCACTTGAGTCAAAGCAGGGGTTGATAAAGATAGATGTCATTATTATTTTAATGACAACTACTGAATCAAACTTTATCGACTAGAATATGTAGTCATGATGCTTTTGTTGAGGTAAGTGGTACACAGCAGCAACCATTGTCGTGTTGGGTGGACTCGTCTGCCTGCCAATTTGGAGATCCTATAGGCTGGCAATTATTCAACTAATATACCTTAAATAAATTCTCAACATTTAATTATTATTAAAGTAATTTCATATAAAAATGAAAAAACTTTAACCAAAAATATATTTTCTTAAAAAGATTTTTTTTAAGTACAACAAAGGGGAAAGAAAATAATGGTACAGAAGCCAGAAGGCTAATTTTTAGATAGAATTATCATTGTCTATCTCAAAATATGACCTATTCACTCCTATTTTGGAGAGTTTTGATCAACCTATTCTTTAATAACATTAAAAAAGTTTTATTTATGGAATAAAAAAATACTTGGTCCTATTTTAGAAATTTGTTAAGCAATTTCTAGTACTACAACTACGTGCTCCGTATTACCCCTCCGTCCCATAAAATTATTCTCATTTTCCTTTCTGGACTGTTCCAAAAAATTCCCCCACTTACCATTTTTGGACAATTTATGTGGTTCACATTCATTTCACTTTTTTCTTACACAACCACAACCATACATTTCCATTTTAATTATTCCACTTTCTTAAACTTCGTGCCAAGTCAAGGTTGGAAAAATTTTCTGGGACGGAGGGAATATTTATTTATAAGACCAAACTCCACCTTTTTACGTAAACCCAATTTGAATTTAGGAAAAATAGTCAAATAAACTCGTATACTATCGCAAAAAAAAACGTCTAAGCCGGTTACTAAAAAACCATCACATACTCCCTCCGTAACTTAAAAATCTTCTCACTTTCCTTTTTCGTCAGTAACAAAAAAAATCCCGTTTTTAAATCTTCCCAACATACCCTCAATAATTCTTAAAATAATACACTATTACAACTATTTTTTTGGATTTATCTTGCATTCCACCACAATATTCCACTATTTTCCCATCATACGCTCAATAGTTCATATCATCTTTCACTATTCTTAATCTACCTACTTTTCAAATGTGAAGATTTTAAAGTTACGGAGGGAGTAGTACATTTACTACTAGTATTAAAAAACAGTCATATAAATCAACTTAGGAGAAAACAACTTCTTGTAGCAATACAGGATTTTGATAGGTGTACACCATTTTTGTACACTTGTCTGCCTGAGACAGACAAGTGTACAAAAATGGTGTACACATTTTGTGTATACCAAACATTTTTCAGCAAGTCATTATGTGCGCAATCCTCCAATAGTTTTGATTTTTTGTTGGAAAAGGAACAAATATACCCCTCTAGTATGGGTGTTGGAACAGATATACCCTTGTTCTTTTTTTTCGGAACAAATATATCCTTGAACTTTTAAAAAGGTGCAAAAATATCCCTCATGTTCTTATAAAGGGGCAACTTAATCCTTATTGACTTTAAATTAATTAAATAAATTTAAAAAAACACCAAATATAAATTATAAATTCGAAATTAAAAAACAAAAAATTTTAAAAATGTAATTGTGTCCAATTCTCCCTTTTATAGTTTTTATATCACAATTTAATATTTTTTAAGTATGAAATATTATTTCAATTTTTTTCTATATGTTTAAGATTCTTTCGAAAAGGTGCTAACATATGTTTCGCAATGTAAAGAAAAATTATTATTTTTTTGCATTCTTTGCACTATAAAATAATATATTTTGAATTAATATTTTATACTAAAAGTATTAAATTGTGATATAAAAACAATAAAGGGAGAATTGGGCACAATTACATTTTTAAAATGTTTTATTTTTTAATTTCAATTTTTTAATTTATTTTTGGTCTTTTTTAAAATTTATTTAAAGTCAATAAGGATTAATTTGCTCCTTTATAAAAACTTGAGGAATATTTTTGCACCTTTATAAAAGTTCAGAAGTATATTTGTTTCGAAAAATAGAATATGGGTTATTTGTTCTTCCACTTATACTACAGGAGTATATACTTTTTCCCTTTTTTGTTTCCTTTTCGTCTTCTTTCTAAACCGTGACCTATCTTGCATTTTTTATTTTGTCGTTTTCTTCTTGCTATCATCATTTCATCATTTCATTTCATGTTTCTAGCGGTTTTTAGTTTCTTCTTCTTTTTTATTTCCCTTGTTATCTTTTTAATTTGTTGTATTCTTCCTAGAAGTATGTTCAGACATTTCGTTGGGATGATTTCAATAAATTATTATTACAAAAATAAATAAAAATTAAAAATATGATTAGTAACAAAAATATTAATAAAAGGAAAACTATCGAATAAGACTTTCTACTTTAAAAAAACACAATTAGAGCCCCCAACTAAAATTCCGCTCAAGTAAACCCTCGAACTCATTTTAAGTGACAAATCTTCTCTTTTAACCGGTAATGAATTGTTTAACCTGTTACTGTGCACACGTGGCGACCCACGTGGCGGTTTTTTATTATTTATTTCACATTAATTTTTCTTTTTCCTTTCTTTTTTCCTTACCTCCTCCTTTCTCCCACTCCCCCTTTCTTCTACGCTCGTTCCAGCAACCTCCTTCCGGCCTTCCCCCTTCACCACTTCTTCCATCAACCCTTTCTTCTCCCACTTTTTTGTCTTCTCCCAATTCCTACCCACAGGTCGTCGGCCAGTCCTTCATTCCGCAGCTTGAGAGAGACCCACGTCGCCGGAGATTCTCGAGTACCCACCGCACGCCGGAGTGGTGGACGCCTCCTTCTCACAGATCGCTCGTCTACTGCCCACGAGTCGATGGCTTCCGTTGAAGCTTCCGGGTCAGCGACGGTGCTCCGTGATACCTTTAGGCCGGCCATTTCCAGATCCGCCGTAGCTTCAATTCGGCCGCCGCCCTAGTCGACGGAGGAGAAGTAGGGAGCGGGATGTTGGCTCTTTCCTTCCAAATTCAACGTGTTGACCGTGTTGCTCCTCAATTGACCTCGTTGACCATCTAGCTCTAAGATATTGGCCTGCAAAATAATCACTAAAAAGAACTAAAATTATATTAGTGGCTCGAGACGCGTCAGACGCTGTCCTAAGGAATTATTTCCGGCGTACGGAAATTTCCCCCAAGATATAACGAGCCCTTCGGTTGTAAAACCGGTACCAGAACTAACGAGAAGAAAATAATATATGAACCCAGTAATAATATATGAGAAAGGACTTGTAGCACAAATAGACACTTTATCATTCAAAATAAAAAATCCCAAATTTCTTCTCCATACGTATGTTTTCATATATGTATATATCGTAGCCAGTACTCAAAACCCTCAATTGAATTTCTTGCTTTCAAGTGTATGCATATGCATATATTTTACAATGTAGGTATGAGATAGAGTTTTGTACGTAGCTTTCCACTAATGTAGCAAGACCAAAGGGATTCATCTCTCAAAACACATACATCTTACGTGGTTTTATACTAATTCACAAAGAGGAGCACTTAATCCATAATAAAGGAGATTAAATACAAATAATAAAAAAACGTTTCATCATTTAAAAGGGAATTTAATAGTTATAAATCAAAAGCAAGCTAACGTTTAGAAATATATGAGCGGCCAAGTGTAAACAACATCAATAATTTGATCTTTGACTTCCATTGCTTTAATATGAAGAAGAAAAATAATCTTTTAAGTCTTTATAAATTTTCTCCAAAAAAGGAAATATTATATTCATTTGAAATATCCCAAAATTTCCAACAATCCCCCACTATTTCAAATGAATAATTTTAATTATTTAAAAATAGCAATTCCTTACTGGGTTCATATATGGGGTGAAGTTTTTCAATCTGGTGTCCGTAGACTTGAACCAGACCTAGACGCCTAAGTCTTTAAATACCGAGTTTATTGGTGAAACGTATAGTTTCTATGAACCAACAATCTACTTTGGTAAGTCAGTGTCTTAGGGGATCATTTTTCACCCCCACCTTTCTCGTCGTTAACGCCGTTGTGCGCCTCTAGGCCGTGCGCGTGCTTGGTTTTCGTGAGTGCTCTAAAAACGTTGTCAATGCTTTATGGAGGCGGCCCCACCTCACACTCATATAGGTGACCTCATCAAGTGTGTTCCGCACTTAACACACCACCCGTAAGGGCTATGACAATCATTAAGAGCTTTAGCTCAACCTCACAAACAAATACAGTCTAGCCTTCCACACAATAGAAATGGACATTTTACGAGGCTAGCAGAACAAATAGAAGACTTGTTATTACCCATATGAACTTGCTTCATGGGATCTCCAATCACACAAGTTGGGTTCCCATCCCTATTTGTTGTCAAAGTGACATTAGTCCATTTCCCTCGATGTTTAAATTATTCATTTAACGTCCTAGGGATTCTGTCAAAGGAGTAGCTAATTCCTTTTACCTTCACAAAATTAATGGACATAAATCCATCTCAAACATCATTGCACCACTTTTAAGGGTGAATGGATATCCACTATTTTAATTTATCGCACGCGAGTCGACTCAGATGTCATCGTTGTATCCCGGCAATACAGCGGATAATTCTCAATAAGAAATAACATCGATGTGACCCTCTAGTACATCGGATAATTCTCAATAAAATATATACCATCATTGTATCATTATAGTACAAAGGATAATTCTCATATAACATCATTGTACCGATCTAGTACAATGGATATTTCTCAATAAAACATATCATCGTTGTATCACTATATTATTACAACGGATAATTCCAATCAAATATATCACAATTAGTTATACCACTCAAGTATCTCAATAACTTTTTAAGGTATTCCAACTATCCCATTTGAATTTCAAAATTTACTCAATCTTTCGACATTTAAATTATGTCAATTCACACACATTTTGTTAATTGTAACAAACTCACATTTTTTATTATTAGGCATACACACTGAGCCTTGGAATCACATTATGCGTTTCTTTTTGTATTAAAGGCATAAGGGATATTCACATTTTAACGCTAAAATGTCAAACTTCTTAAGAAGTTCCTCAAAATAATGATAATAAAATACCAATGTCCTTCCCTATGGCTTTAATACTTAAAATTACTTTTGTTATATTAATATATCAACTCAATATTGCTACTGAAATGAGCATAAAAAATTCCAGCAACATATAGGGAATCACACATGCATAATTTAGTGTGTACACGTTTTTTTTTCTTTTTCCTTTTTTTTCCTCCAAAAATTCACCACATCAACTTCAACAATAGTATAGCTCACCCTATTGCACATAGGCACATTATTTTAATTAAATCAAGAAAATTACATGCTCCACTATTTTCAACATACAATATGAATAATCAATCAAAATTTATAGAATTCATTTATTAACACAAGGTGGCTAATAAGCCTTGCAATGAAAATACCGATGATCTACATCAAATTCAATTTTTTTTTCAAATGCACATTTCAAATAATATAACTTTCTCCTTCTCAGAAATATTTAATTTCTCGAGCATATACTATAATTTGAAATAATAAATGTTCATATATAATACATGAATTTTCCAGCATATAAAAGGCAACCAAGAAAGATACCTTCTCTCTTTGTAACATGCAGTAGAATTTTAGAGAGCCCCCACAATTTTAAAATATTTACAAAACAGGTGAATAGCCCTTCTAAAATTCACAGACATATAATTTCATTTTTATTTAAGAAAAATCCATCACAACCTTTATTTGCATGTAATATACGCTCGGTTTTTAAAGAACCACACCAAAACACTACATGCAACGAATATATATACTCGTGTAAGCATAGGAAAAAAAATTGGTCCATCATTTCTTCAACATAACAACAACGTAATTAATACTTCATATAATTTAATGACTATAGAGATGTTATAAGAGGGTTATCAAAAGTTAAAAAAACGTTTTCAGCATTAAAAGGGAATTTAATAGTAATAATATATTTTAAAGCACGCTAATGTTACAATTCCCCTTGAGTTGATCAAATAAGTTTTTAGAACAATTAAAATGAAAGAGTAGTCTTGTAGTAACAAGTTAAATCTGAAATGCGCATCTTTAACAACAATATACATGTTTTTAACAACTAATTTTTTTGGAAGTTTCATTTATAGCGTCAGACCTCATATGTCATATCGGTATGGAAAAGTAGAATGGAAATAAATACACTTTTATTCAATTGAGACACTTAAACAATTAAGTCAGTCAAAATCTCAAACAAATTAAATCATCATTAAAATATAAAATTTTATATGATGCATGTGAGCTTAAACTGAACAACCATTTCGTCATCCCCTATAGGACTATAGGAGGATAAAACCATTTTTTTTACAAATGTGTTTGGTAGCCTCATCAATATCTACCATCTTTTCATTCACGCATCACTAGTCAATTTTAAAAATAACCGCGCCAATTATATCATCACCGTCAACAAAGTTTACACTTTATTTTGGTGGATCGTTTTCCCCAACATTTTCATCATCTAAAAATGACCTTTTGAACAAAAGCTATATAAAAACACATACCGTAATTATGACCATCGTTGGGAGCTAGAAATGTAGCCATACTTTTGGCTTCACTAGTCACAGGAGGTGTATCCGCCACGCTAACTGTTTCCGTAGGTATAATTTTTGTTCGCCATTAAATCCTTAGATTGTTGGCTCTTTCCTTCCAAATTCAACGTGTTGACCGTGTTGCTCCTCAATTGACCTCGTTGACCATCTAGCTCTAAGATATTGGCCTGCAAAATAATCACTAAAAAGAACTAAAATTATATTAGTGGCTCGAGACGCGTCAGACGCTGTCCTAAGGAATTATTTCCGGCGTACGGAAATTTCCCCCAAGATATAACGAGCCCTTCGGTTGTAAAACCGGTACCAGAACTAACGAGAAGAAAATAATATATGAACCCAGTAATAATATATGAGAAAGGACTTGTAGCACAAATAGACACTTTATCATTCAAAATAAAAAATCCCAAATTTCTTCTCCATACGTATGTTTTCATATATGTATATATCGTAGCTAGTACTCAAAACCCTCAATTGAACTTCTTGCTTTCAAGTGTATGCATATGTATATATTTTACAATGTAGGTATGATATAGAGTTTTGTACGTTGTACGTAGCTTTCCACTAATGTAGCAAGACCAAAGGGATTCATCTCTCAAAACACATACATCTTACGTGGTTTTATACTAATTCACAAAGAGGAGCACTTAATCCATAATAAAGGAGATTAAATACAAATAATAATAAAAACGTTTCATCATTTAAAAGGGAATTTAATAGTTATAAATCAAAAGAAAGCTAACGTTTAGAAATATATGAGCGGCCAAGTGTAAACAACATCAATAATTTGATCTTTGGCTTCCATTGCTTTAATATGAAGAAGAAAAGTAATCTTTTAAGTCTTTATAAATTTTCTCCAAAAAAGGAAATATCATATTCATTTGAAATATCCCAAAATTTCCAACACGGGAGTGAAGCTGGGGGGAGGTGAGAAGGGTGAAGTGAGGTCAGAGAAGTAGAGAAAGAAGAGAATGGGAAAGAAAGAAAAATGTGCAGGTGCGCGCAGGGGAGAAGAAGGGAGCGGAAGTGAAGAAGGAGAAAGGAAAGGAATCCAAAGGAAACTGAAAAAGAAAGAGAAAAATGAAAATAAAAGGAAAAACGTAAAAAAAAAACATGTCATATGACAATTTAGAAGCTGTTCTCTTCACCTGATCTGAATATTTCTGATCTGAATTTTTTAAGTTTTGATCTGATTTGATATGAATTTTTCTGATCTGATCTGATCTGAATTTTTCTGATCTGATCTGAACCTTTCCGATCTGAATCTTTCTGATCTGATCTGATTTGCATATTTCTATAAATATAATTATAATTATAATTATAATTATAATTATAATTCAAATATAATTTAAATAAAATTATAATTTAATCATCATTATAAAAAAGATATAATTATAATTATAATTAAAACTATAATAATTATACCTGTTACACTCATTATAACTATAGATATAATTATAATTGTAATTATAATTAATTATATAATTATAATTACAATTAAAGTTACAATTAAATTACAATTATAAATATAATTACAATTACAATTATAATTATATAAGTCTAATTGTAATTGTAATTTTAATTTTAATTATATTTGTAATTATATATGTAATTACAATTATAATTCAAATATAATTTAAATAAAATTATAATTTAATCATCATTATAAAAAAGATATAATTATAATTATAATTAAAACTATAATAATTATACCTATTACACTCATTATAACTATAGATATAATTATAATTATAATTATAATTAAAAAGGAAATTATAATTATAATTTAAATTATAATTATAATTGTGATTTTAGTTATTCCAGACTCCGTATAATA